TTGGGGGGGAAGGGGGAGGGTTTTGACAGGTACCCGCTCTCACTTCCAGTTCAGTTAGCCGTGGCGAACTAAGCTGGAAGTTTGGGCCGCTCTGCAGCCCTCTGGGACATTTCACGGGCCCCAGAGGACTGTAGCCTATTCACAAAGCACAGCGCTCTTCGCACATGCACAGTAGGAAGCCGGCTGTGAAGCCGCAAGGCGTCACTGCCAGTTTCCCTTGGTCAAGATGGCGGCGTCAGCACCCGACACTCGATTAAAGAATCGGCTCGGGGTGAGGAGACTGCTGGATCCCTGGACAGGTAAGTGCCCTAATATTAAAAGTCAGCAGCTACACTATTTGTAGCTGCTGACTTTTATTTTTTTTTTGCCGGGGGGACCGTGGGTCAGAACTCCGCTTTAAGCAGACTATGCCATTTAGGAGGTAGGTCCATTTTACCTCCTGTACCTTTTCAGCTTGTTGTTGTGATGAGTGCTGAATGTATCCTACCGTCAGTGCGCCCAGGTATTTGACTTTTTACAGAATACAGTAGAGTGCAGCAGATGGAGGTTTGCTCCTTGCTGTAATTGACATTTGCCTATGTGTGGCCTCCTTTTGACATGGTTGGTTGCCTCCATCTGAGAACAATGCTTACTTCTCAACTAGAAGTTGTCCTTCAGTCACAAATAGTAATCACTGATGTCTTCTGTGACTGTAGCTGTCAGTATACATTGACAACCCTGCTTTTCTTGAATGCACTCAATATACTGCTTGCAGCATCTGTGGAGCATTCAGAAAAAAAAATCATCAATGTATACTGTCAGCTTCTATCACTTTAGAAACCATTCAGAAGAAAAATTGTACTTTTGAATGTTCGCACATCCATGTATTCACTTCATCAAGAGAGTGCCAACTAAATGCCCATACCTGTTTTGCCCAACGTGTGTTTGAAATGTCTAATTATATTTTCTATACTAATATAACACCAACCTATTTTACATTAGTTTACACAAAATATAGAGCCATTGACATCAATCGCTGCCCTGGCAAAACTGACATTCTACTGTTCCTACCACAGTCATACGCAGTCATGGTTTTCTTCAAAACACATATGTAGTGGGGATCGAAAGTTTGGGACATATTATAAGAATGTCTAATCTGTAATTTGATGCCTTTTGGAGATTTTTCCATCTTTCCTTGGCTTCTTTATGCACATTAATACAAATTTTTAGCTGGGGTGCCCAAACTTTTGATCCCTACTGTACATGCTAGAGCAGAAGGGGGACCCTTCAACATTCTGAGGAGAAAAAGGAGTACCCCTTACCCAGTGTACCCCCCCCCCCAGTTATTGAACTGCAGGTGCAAATGGCCTACACTGACTACTGCTAATGCAGGCCATACATGGGTCAAATTCCGAACAAATTTTCTTTAGAAATTCAGACATTTTGTGCATTTTGTAATCCGATGGTGCTACCATTGATTTTGAAATTCGACCAACCAAGCCTTTAATTTCACCTCATGTTGCTACAGAAAAGAATTTTCATGGCCAAGAATTTCCTTTTTTTTTTTTCTAGGTCACAGCTCATGCTCCTTTCTTTATCGATTACATTTCTCGCACGATTCTTCCATCATTAGAAATTTGGTAATTTTTCAAAAAAAATTTCCAACATGCCCAATCACTCAAATTCCATGGTCGCTCGAAAATCAGCCATCTCTGTGGCCCACTAATGGTGCAAAATTCGAAGAAAAATTCTTAGAAAAGATTTTCGAAAGAAAATTTTTTCGGAATTTGACCCATGTATGGGCGTCTTAAAGTTTATAATTTTACCACACTGGGAAACAAAAAGAAAAAAGAGGCGCCAAGCAACGCCCAGAGAGTTCTCTGTGTACTTGTGGTGATCAATACTTCAACAGTGGCTCTACCCTGATGACTTAAGCCTCCAACTCTGCAAACTTTCTCTACTTAGTTATATGCCAATTTTTTCACCAAGATTTGTGAGTGCATAACTTATTGCTTTTATTTGTGCTACACTAAATAAATTACAACACTCTGGGGTTTATTTACTAAAGCTAGTTCACTCAGAATCTTGTGCACCTGTGCATGGTAGCCAATCAGCTTCTAACATCAGCTTTTTCACTATTGGTTTCTATGCAGAAGTGAACCTGATTTTGCACTCTCAAGCCTTACTAAATAAACTCCTGAGTCTGCTTGGCACCCTTTTTTTCTCTTTATTTCCTAAACTCTGGTTCCCCAAGCCAATATGGAAGGCCACAGCACAGCCATTAGTTTATGCCAGCTATCTATTGTTAGAAACATTTCCTTCTCTTGTTTAAATATTCACTAAGCCCTGGTTCACAGTGGAATGCAGTGTGAGAAATCTGCAATCCATGTGCATTTCCTGCACCATATTCAGAACACACTGCCCTTCTAATCTGCAGCAGGGGTCAGTGCAATTTTAAAGATACCCCAAACATAGGTCGCAAACACCTGTGTGCTGCTCCAGAGCAGAGAGATACAAAGCAGCATGTCTCCCAATTAAAACAGCACACAGCACAAAATGTAAAACACCGACAGCACACAGTTAACCTTTGATTGCCCCAGTTGTTAACCCCTTCTTGCCCTGTCTCATTTTTTTTTAGCACTTATAATTGTATTAGTGTCACTGAGGATGTCAGTGGCAGTTAGTCAGTTCCCACCCAGTGTCAGAATGCCCACCGCAGGCCCGCTATAAGTCGCTGAGCGCCACCATTACTAGTATAAAAGAAAAATTCCAGTATATATACCGCCATTTGTAGACCATTTTGTCCTAAAATTTATGAAGAAATTTGATTTTTAAAATTTTTTATTAGATATGTTTTATAGCAAAAAGTCAAAAATACTGTTTTTTTTTTTTTCAAAAACAGTTGGCCTTTTCTTGTTTGTAGCACAAAAAATAAAAACCGCAGAGGTGATCAAATACCACCAAAAGAAGCTCTATTTGTGAGAATAAAATGACATAAATTTAATTTATGCACAGCATTGCATGACCACTCAATTGTCAGTTAAAGTAACATACCGCCGTATCTAAAAAAAAAAAAAAATAGCCTAGACCTGAAGGCCTATGGGGGGGGGGGGGGGGGGGGGTAAATCCTCTGGAGGGCAAATGTTTATATTGTCAGATATGTCTCTGAAAGTATCAGTCGCTTATCAGCAAGTCTTTTTAAAATGTATTTGCAGCCAAATCTTTTTTGTTTCTTTAGTCTTCAATAGACTTATTTCTTGCTTTTATGGCTGGAGTTCCAGTTGGGGACATTTCCTCTCACTTTCTGTCCTGGTGAAACAACATGAAGTGAGAAGTTCTCCTCAAGGGAAACCCCACCCTTGATAGCTGCCTCACCAAGAAAAATGTGGAAAAGCTTAGAATCCATTCCTTCTCAATCCAACAAAAATAAAAATAAAAAGAAGATTGGCGGGAAGTCAACATTAAGTACTATACATCCTGATTTTCCTGGTAAAAATATAGGCATAGCTAAGAGAAACCTGGTGCACTGAAGATCATTTACTAAAACTTGAGAGTGCAAAATCTGGTGCAGCTCTGCAAAGATACCAATTGGCTTCCTGGTTTTATCGCCAAAGCTTAATTGAACAAGCTGAAATTGGAAGCTGATTGGCCACCATGCACCACTGCACCATATTCTGAGTTCTCCAGTTTTAGTAAATCTACCCCACTATGTGCATAGTAAAGTACTATACTTTTAGAGAAAGCAGATCTGTTTTGGTAAGTAAAAAGGGAACTGTTACTGTTTATCAACATATATAAATAATATTTTGTCATACATTGCACTTGTGTTTCTAAGCTTCTCTGTGTCAGATGATATTTTTTTGCCATTAGTTTACGTGGGTAGTTAACAGATTTTCTCCTCTGATGATTTATGTTCTCTTCCTGCACAGGAGGCTACATCAGCAATTTGAGAGCTACAAAGAACAAATCAGAAAAATAGGGGAGGACACACGTCGGTATCCTGGGGATCACAAGGATGACGCTCAACGTGTGGAATCTGCCACAAAACAAAGTTTTTGCAGATGGCTGCGGACATTTATGCTCTTACTGCCGAACAAAATTCTGTGCCCGATGTGGAGGTCGTGTTTCACTTCGGTCAAACAATGTAAGTATACTTTCTTTGACACATAATACAGTATTTATATAGTTAGGGTTGATGCAGGACTTGTATGTATTTTTTTAACATGATTCTATAGTTGTGCACAGGTTGTGCACAGAAGACAGGTTGTTCTGCACATAACATCAAAAACTCTTCTGAGCGAGCACCAGAAGTATAAAAGAGCTGCATGTAAGTATATTGAATGAATTCACATAAAGAACCTTTTTGATGCCAAAGGTTATATATGCTTGTATCATCATGCCTCTGCAATCTTTGGCCCTCGGAAACATATGTTTGGTGTGTCAGGTTAGTATTCTCAAGACAGGGTCTACAAACTCTATAAAAAAATGCCCAATGTTTTTCAATGTCTTTTCTTGTTTATTCTTATTTATAAACACTGCAGTATTTTATTCCTTTCTTTTTGTATATCTTATTTGCAAGGGTAAAAAAAAAAAATTAAACATTGTCTATTAGGCCTCATGTACACTAATTTCGGGCATCTGATGTAAATTGCAAGTGCATTTCCTCTCTAAGAGAGATAGCTCCCGATAGTAATGAATGGCTTTATGCAGGTATACATCGTACTTATATAAAACCGCACATGTGCATGAGAGTAAATCCTACAATGTGGCTTTTGTTGTATACTTAAGTACAGTTAGCGTATGGAAATTCAGTACTACAGGGGACTGTATGCTACAGCTGCCACTCTCTCTTTCTCGGGCATGGAAATACGCCCACAATTTCTGTCAAATGCCTGAAAGCACCTGTTTGCATGAGACCTTATTATGTACCATATTTTTCGCTCCATAAGATGCACCTAACCATAAGATGCACCTAGGTTTTAGAGGAGAAAAACAAGAAAAAAATATTCTGAACCAATGGACTGCAGACATAGTACAGGAGATGACCAGAGACTGCGGACACAGTACAGGAGATGACCAGAGATTGCAGACATAGTACAGGAGATGACCAGAGACTGAGGACACAGTACAGAAGGTGACCAGAGACTGCGGACATAGTACAGGAGATGACCAGAGACTGAGGACACAGTACAGGAGGTGACCAGAGACTGCAGACATAGTACAGGAGGTGACCAGAGACTGCGGACATAGTACAGGAGGTGACCAGAGACTGCAGACCTTTGGAGAGCGGAAGGGGGGGAGCTTGTACCCAAATTTGACAGGTACCAGCTCCCACTTCCACGGAGTTGTCCTCCCTCCCCGTCTTCTGGGACGTGACAGGTCCCAGATGACTGTCGGACCATTCACGCATGCGCAGTGGGCACCCGGATGTAAAGCCGCAAGCTGATACAGCCGGGTGTCCACACTAAAGATGCCAGCACCAGGGAGAGAAGACGGTGAGGACACCGCTGGACCGAGGAACAGGTAGGATCATGGAGCAGGTTATGCTGCACAGAAGAGCCAAGCGGCCGGCCCCCGCTGTGGGAATATCAGGCCGGCCGCTCCTTATTCGCTCCATAAGACGCACAGACATTTTCCCCCCATTTTTTGGGGGGGACAAAAGTGTGTCTTATGGAGTGAAAAATACGGTATATCATCTAAAATGAATATATAGTGCAGCATCTCCCTACCAGTAGGGAGGCACTGCACTATACATTTATTTTAGATTTTGTAATACACTAGTGAGTGTGTGAAGTGTGTAAACGACTTCAAATTGGGGTTTTTTTGTTTTGGTTGTTTGGCTTTTTTGGTTGCTTGCGGGATTAATACACATATATGTATATCATATTTATTATTAGAACCAGGAAGTGGTAACCACAAAGCAACAGTCACCAAAATTAAAGCTTTTTTGTGAATAGTTTGGGTTATGAAAAAAAAATGAATAGCAGCATATTAGGTTAAACTATATGGGGGGTTATTTACTAAAACTGAGCGTGCAAAATCTGGTATAGTTCTGCAAAGAAACCAATCGGATTCCAGATCTTATCAACAAAGCTTAGTTAAACAAGCTAAAGTTAAAAGCTGATTGGCTACCATGCACAGCTGAACCAGATTTTGCACTCTCAACTTTTAGTAAATGACCATATAGTACTGGGATTTCTTATTAAAATGCCTGCCATGGAAAGGAAAAAAAAATATAAACATGTTACTTTTTAAAAAAAAAAGTTTAAAAGCAAATTGAAGTTCTTATAGTTTCTTTTTAAACCATAAAGAACAGATTAAACAATTACACATTAATCTTTTGAAGTTCTGATCTCATAACGGCACAAGTTCAGCACTGTATACAGTGCATGTTGTACTGTTTCTCGATGTTTATTGATACACAGTACATTCATAGTAATAAAATGGTAAATTCACTTGCAGCACGAAGTAATGAATGCATGGTCACATGTGAAAAAAAATCTCTGTGGGCCCTTGTGTGATTTGTTACTCAAAAAATGCAGCCTGCCCAGATTGCTGGTGTGTCTATGCTCATTCGCTGTGTTGCTGCACACTGTGTTCTGGTGTGGATCGGCTCTAAATGTTAAATAATAATTTGAAAACTGTGAAGCAATCTGATACGAATATTTTTTTGAATGTCTTACCTAATGAATTTTACTGCATCAGGTCTTTGATCTATCAAGGCAGTAAAAATAATAGCAGAAAGAGGGTCCCATTGTAGCCTTGTAAATGTGGTGAGTACCTCGTGACTGCTATGCAGAAAATGTAAAGCATGCACCGCATTCCATTTAAGGTGCAAAATCTCTTTAACAAAGGAAAATATTTGCTTGCTGTAAAACCTTTACCTGTAACCTTTTCTAAACTGTTTGTTAATACCTGCTTATCATTCATTTTATCATTTTTTTTCTCCTTTTCTGCTTCCTTGGATGCTTTCCCAAAGGAGGACAAAGTGGTTAGAATCTTTTCTTTCTTTTATCTTGTATATGATACAACACTGAAATATTTCAGTAGACATTATGGTGCCAAATGCGTGGGATTTGTTATTGTGTAGTTTTGACAGTCATGATGTAGCTACTCTTCAATCACTCACTCGGTAAATTAGATTAGATACGATTTGCAATTTAAATTACCTTTGTCAGGTAACCTATGTTTATATGAGGTTAGAAACAAAACTGCAGCTGTTCTCCTATTTTTAAAACAGAATATAAATACTATATTCTGATGTGGCAGTGAAACAAAACCACTTAAAATGCAGGTAGCATTTAAAGTAAACGTGTAGTTAGTTTAACATTAGTAAACTTGCTCATAGACTTAATGCTGCCTGAAAACATTCTGCATTTCATTATTGGCTCCTAAATGTGGTAGGCAGAAGTTCATGTGGGCACCTCTGTACCTCTGCATTAATGGTAAAAAGACTTGCACGCAGCTCTCTCCCTTCTTTAATGGCTCAGAGATAGTACCAAGAGCCATTGAATCCTGCTGCTTTCAATCGGCTAGCCCAGCAAGTGAGGAGAGAGCGGAGGGTGCAGCTGAGCTACGCTCTGTTTGTCTATAGACACACAGAATGGAGCTTAGCGGTGAGGCTTGCACGAGTGCCCCCATTGCACTTGCTATGGGGGCACACAGTGGGAGGGTTTGAGCCAGGAACATCGGCGGGGGACCCAAGAAGAGGAGGATCGGGGAACCCTGAGAAAAGCAGGTAAGTATGACATATTTGTTATTTTAATGAAAAAACTGAACCTTTAGTATCGCTTTAAAGACACTGCCAAGATAGGAAGAAAGCAAACTGCTGCAGGTATGAAATGTAGGCAGCTAGACTTGCTCGAAAATACCTGCATCAGGCTTCCATACTTTCCTTTCATGGCCAAATCTCAGGCTGTTCTGACAGGCAAAGGTTCAGCACTTTTCAGTGGTGCCTTGCACAGTCGTTCCCATCTCCTAGGCCAGTGAGTCTTCCCATTAAGGCAATAAGTTAATATGAATATGGGAGATTGGGGCAAGCTCTGGGAGTATCTAAGCTTTGCCTGTCAGACCAGCCCTAGATTTGACTGTGACTGGAAGGTTTGAGAGGCTGCTGCAAGTATATGCAGATACCTCTCAGTGCCTGCATTGCATGCCTGCCAGCAGTTTACTCTCCCCCCCCCCCCCAAGTGACAGAGTCTCATTAAGTTTTATTAAGTTCAGATAGCAGTTTACTAATGTTAACCTAACTACAAATACACTTTAAAATCGTAAAAAAAAAAAAAGAAAAGAAGAAGACCATCTTTTGATTACTCTCTACATTTTCCTTTTTTTTTAAATTTATTGTCAGAATTGGAAACTGTAAGTTTGGGGTACTAAGAAAAGCAAACATACATATTCAGCTTCATGCTGCAGCATCCGTCTGATGCAACAGCTATCACCCACCAGCTCTTAGACCAAGAATTGAGAGATCACATTACTGCTGATTGCTCAGTTCTCAGTTTTCTCGGAGCAGAGAACAGTGACTGTCAGTCATCACTTTCTGCTCTACCACTCCAGTGCTTACTGGAATGCCAGGCTGGAGAGGGGGTGGGAGCAGCTGGCTTAGGCTCTCAGCAGTGCACTGAGAGCTGGAGCCAGATATCAATCAGGGAATTTGGTGGATCCCAACATGATGATCAGGATCCTTCCAAATCCTTGACTGATTCTGGGTCACAGGAGATCACAAGTAAGTGCACTCCTTTGACCCACAAGAGAAGTACGGCTAAAAAGTCTTTTAAAGCCCAACTTGAGCAAATAAAATGGGCACGTTTTTTTAAAGTGCATCTCTACTTTCAGCTAAACTATTGTTAAAATACCCACCACAGCCCTCCTAAGCCAAGCTACACCCCCCCTCAAACTGGTTACTTTCCTTTATTGCAGAGCCCCAGCCTTCTCTGGAGTTTATATCCTGTCTGATAAAATTATCTTCTGCATTTTACTCAGACAGGGCCATATACTGAGACTGGAAATCCTTGGTATTTGACTCATTCAAGTCAATTGGCCTTCTGTGTTAAGCAGCAGCCAGCAATGAAGAGTTTCTTATCAAACTGAGGAAATATACTTACAGTGGGGCAAACAATTATTTAGTCAGCCACCAATTGTGCAAGTTCTCCCACTTAAAAAGATGAGAGAGGCCTGTAATTGGCATCATAGGTAGACCTCAACTATGAGAGACAAAATGAGAAAAAAAATCCAGACAATCACATTGGCTGATTTGGAAAGAATTTATTTGCAAATTATGGTGGAAAATAAGTATTTGGTCACCTACAAACAAGCAAGATTTCTGTCTTTCACAGACCTGTACCTTCTTCTTTAAGAGGCTCCACTGTCCTGCACTCATTACCTGTATCAATGGCACCTGTTTGAACTTGTTATCAGTATAAAAGACACATGTCCACAACCTCAAACAGTCACACTCCAAACTCCACTATGGTGACGACCAAAGAGCTGTCGAAGGACACCAGAAACAAAATTGTAGACCTGCACCAGGCTGGGAAGACTGAATCTGCAATAGGCAAGCAGCTTGGTGTGAACAAATCAACTGTGGGAGCAATAATTAGAAAATGGAAGACATACTGTACAAGACCACTGATAATCTCCCTCGATCTGGGGCTCCACGCAAGATCTCTTCCTGTGGGGTCAAAATGATCACAAGAATGGTGAGCAAAAATCCCAGGACCACACGGGGGGACCTAGTGAATGACCTGCAGAGAGCTGGGACGTAACAAAGGCTACCATCAGTAACACACTACGCCGCCAGGGACTCAGATCCTGCAGTGCCAGACGTGTCCCCCTGCTTAAGCCAGTACATGTCCAGGCTGTCTGAAGTTTGCTAGAGAGCATTTGGATGATCCAGAAGAGGATTGGGAGAATGTCATATGGTTAGATGAAACCAAAATAGAACTGTTTGGTAGAAACACAACTCGTCGTGTTTGGAGGAGAGAGAATGCCGAGTTGCATCCAAAGAACACCATACCTACTGTGAAGCATGGGGGTGGCAACATCATGCTTTGGGGCTGTTTCTTCACAAAGGGACCAGGACGACTGATCCATGCACAGGACAGAATGAATGGGGCCATGTATCGTGAGATTTTGAGTGCAAACCTCCTTCCATCAGCAAGGGCATTGAAGATGAAACGTGGCTGGGTCTTCCAACATGACAATGATCCCAAACTTACCGCGTGGGCAACAAAGGAGTGGCTTCGTAAGAAGCATTTCAAGGTCCTGGAGTGGCCTAGCCAGTCTCCAGATCTCAACCCCATAGAAAACCTTTGGAGGGAGTTGAAAGTCCGTGTTGCCAGCGACAGCCCCAAAACATCACTGCTCTAGAGGAGATCTGCATGGAGGAATGGGCCAACATACCAGCAACAGTGGGTGCCAACCTTGTGAAGACTTACAGGAAACGTGTGACCTCTGTCATTGCCAACAAAGCATCTATAACAAAGTATTGAGATGAACTTTTGATATTGACCAAATACTTATTTTCCACCATAATTTGCAAATAAATTCTTTCCAAATCAGCCAATGT